ACCCTTGGCTACGCACTCCGCGCTGTAGTCAGTTTCCACGAGTGCGAACTCAGTGGCGTCTCGCGGGCGGGGTGCCGGTCTCTTCTTCTTTCTTTTCATCGCGTAATATATCTGACTTCCCTAATGTTTCTCAAGAGCTGCAACTCCGCCATGCTAAACCTTCTTCTTGGCATGGTGAGAGATTGCAAATAATACACGACGAGCAACCCGTAGGACCGTAAAGAAAAAGAAAAGTTGCTGATACGGTCCCCTCCCACTCCTACCTCCCTCCCCCCCTCCCCTCCCAGTGCCAAGCTCTTGGCATGGCGAAAACGGGCATACATCTGGCAACCTCAGTACACTGCACATTCCCTTGACTCGTCCAGATGGCAACAGACGCTCAGCTCGCCAGGCCTATCTCAAAGTTGAGGTTGAGTCCTTATACATTTACAGTGTTTTATGCTATTCTAAAAACGTGCATGGTTCTCCCATCTCATCAGCCCCAACTCTGCAATTCTAAATCATAGTGGCTCATCGTTTCAAAGCACTTAGTTGATCTTGCAACGAGGTATAGAGTTATAAAGTCTAAAGCTAAAGAAAATCTGGAACGAACCTGTATGAGGCATTCTATTCATATAACAAGTCGTCTGTGTATTTCTTTGCCCTTTGCGTGTGCTGGGCGAAGTTCTATCATTTTCCTTGTATCATATTAATACGTTGTCATATGTAATTGTCAGGAGCTGAAATATTTGATGTCTAATAGTATTGTTAGTACACATTTATCTATCATACGACTCGGTTTCAACAGATCACACCAAATCAAAGTTACCCTTAATATATACATAACCTTTCCGATGAGAATACCCTATCATAATCTTCATTGTTTCTTAGAATCTGAACATAGATCATTCACTGCTTCGCGTATGTGTCAAATTTTTAGATGGCCCGCGAGTCCAGTCAGGAGGACAACTGACTTGGTATCACAATGTTTAGTGAACTGTTCTCGTGATTTCTCCCTCCTCCCTTACCAGAAAACCTGCTTCCAGTCTCACTGCCATTTGACTGTCCTCCGCCATGGGTCTGCAGCCGTGACAGTGACGAGGGGAACACGCCAATTCAACCCTTATTGCTCGCAAACATTTCCCATGCTGTTATTCTGATGGCTTTACGTATGATTATGTCTTGGCTATGCTCGAATTGTTCGTTAGAAAGTAGTCATTTTCAATTACTGTTTGGTTTCGCAACTATTATTAATATTCAAATGTCTTCACTCAGCAATTCTTTCTTCTCACGACTGTTTTATCTTTGTATATAAGGTATCCCTTGTGTCTTGATCACGAAGCCATCGTGTGACCAAATGCATCTCAATCTGCTTTCGAATTCTTTCATGTTTTCCACTCTGAAATGTTTCAAAACGAAGATTCACACGCAGCGGCTTCTGAGCGGACGTGGCAGGACGCCCCACTAAAGGTCTATATGAGTACTTATGTAGACCTTGGCCCCACTCCCTTCCTAGGTGCCTTGCCGCGCCTGTCCTCGGTACACCACACACCAAGATCCCACAGCAATAAAGTACAGAATGTGCGACAACTTACACTACAGCATCCATGAAACTATACCAGTGCCGTCCCTGTGGGAACACATCCTCCTCACGTGGTTCAATTCCGCGTCGTTATGGGTCAGGCATAATTTTGGGAAATTAACGTGACGTTAAGTTGGGTAAATATAGACAAGAGGCCAGTTCCAAGAAGCCAGCGCTCTACTACCACTGTGCTATGCCGACCATAAGAAAGGAATTTGCTTGTACGCTTGTTAGCTAACTGCTGGTTATCCAAGGATTTCATTTTATTTTATCTTAAAAAGAAAGTTGGGGAAGGAAGTGGTTTTTTAAGTGGTATGGAATTCATCATATGTGGCTGCTTATAAAGTGTGAATTATTGTTTTCCTCGAAATAAGAAAGCATTCAATCACATCTGCCGTTATTTGATTTAATTATCCATATAAAAGGGAGTGATTTACGGAGGGACAGGGAGTGTGTGAGGAGAGAGAGAGGGAGAGGGAGGAAGGTCGAGAGGAGAGGGAAGGAGGGTCGGGTAGAGAGAGAGAGAGATGTTGAGGGAGAGAGGAGAGGATGAGAAAAGGAGAGAGAGGGATGGTGAGGAGGAAGAGAGAGAGGAGAGAGAGAGAGAGAGAGAGAGAGAGAGAGAGAGAGAGAGAGAGGAGAGAGAGAGTCTTTGTCCTCTACAACGGGTGGTTGAATTGAAGTATCATTAGATCTTGTGCTGTATTTACCGCTGTGTTTGGTAGGCCGATACTTACACAGCCTTTGAACGAACTGATGGCAGAAATGAACACAAATTTAGATATGTAAGGAACGATACATACCTCATGTGTTACGAGAAATGACAGGTGAGAACATCTGACTAGACGAGAAATGATGATGAGGATTAAACACAAACGCTAACACAACAAAGCACAAAAACAAACACAAAATACACAAAGCACAAACACAAACTCATACAAAACAAACACACAAAGCACAAAACAAACACAAACACACAAAGCATAAACAAAAACTCATACAAAACAAACACACAAAGCACAAAAACAAACACAAACGCACATTAGTGTATGTAGGTGTGTATAAAATCTGCCTATTAAGAAATACACATGTAACCATGCACTAACTTTCTCTATTAAGCTTTGCGTCCTCTGTCACCGTGTGGATCGCCCCCCCCCCCCCACTGTATGGAGAACGTAAACAGGATAACGCTGTGGGCTCATACCTTCCGCCAGAGAAGAGAGAGAGAGAGAGGGGGAGAGGGAGGGAGAGAGAGAGAGAGAGAGAGGAGAGAGAGAGAGAGAGAGAGAGAGAGAGAGAGAGAGAGAGAGAGAGAGAGAGAGAGAGGGGGGGGGAGAAAAAGAAAAATAAGGGAGGGAAGAGAGAGAAATAGAATAGACGATAGATGGAGAGAGAGAGAAGAAAAAAGGGAGGGAAGAGAGAGAAAGAAAGAGAGAAATAGAATAGACGATAGATGGAAAGAGAGAAAGGAGATAAAAAGGGAGGGAAGAGAGAGAGACAGAAACACAGAGAGAGAGAGAGAAGATAAGAAATGGAGGGAGAAAGGGGAGGAAGTGATAAAAAGAGAGAGAGAAAGAAAGAGAGAGACGGATGATAAGAAAGTGAGAGAGAGAGAGGATAAGAAAGAAAGAGAGAGAGACAGAGACAGAGAGAGGAATAATAATCATTGATATAAAAATAAATCACATTAAAGCGGTGAAAAAAAAATCTTATTGAGAAGCCTAGAAGAATTCTAGAAGCTATATAAATGTTATTTATTCACACACACACACACACGCACACACCACACCACCCACATACATTGTTGTATCTATTATATATTTCTATATACATATACACACTCATACATTTATTTATAAATAAATATATGTGTATGTGTGTGTGTGTGCAGATACACGCATATATATATATATATATATATATATATATATATATATATATATATATATATATATATATATATACATATATATATATTATATATTATATATATATTTACACACACACACACACACACACACACACACACACACACACACACACACACACACACACACATTTGTTGTGTATATATATATATATATATATATATATATATATACATATATACTTATAAGTAAATACACATATTCCAACACCGATTTTCCTTTGACAGTCCAAAGGAGACTTCCGTGTCGCGATGGCTGCGGGACTCTTCTCCGCCGCGCGCAGACTCTTCAAAGGCAACCAAAAGGCTGACATTGACAGCGCCAACTTCAAGGTCCACTTCCAGCTGACACCCAAGCTGATGTTCGGTTTCCTTCTGGTGGTCATCTTGTACAATCTCGTTGATGGTGAGATATTGTTCTGACGCATTTATATCTATATCCACCTACTTATCTCTATATTTGTTTGTCTGTTTTCTGTACATTATATACATCTATGTATAATATATATATATATATATATATATATATAGTGTATGTGTGTGTATATACTTCTATCTTCTATATATATATATATATATATGTGGTGTGCGTACATTCGTGTTCCGTTCGTATATGTGTATGTTTGTAAACTAATCTGTATCTAAATATAATTTTCTCTCCAGGTGTTACGGCTCCGGCGCTTTTCAGCGAAGAAACCCTCAGTAATTATTGCTGGAATCAGGACACCTTCCATTGGCCGTTCAATCATCGTGGAATAAGTATATTATGTATCCATGTTCTCACTTTACCCTTTGGTATTTTTGTTGCTCTGCCTGCCCTTTTTATGCCTGTATTATAATTCTTTAACTCTGTAATGCCACGTTCTTAAATTTTATAAAGTATTGGTTCTAGTTTTCTACCATTTTCTGTTGTTCCTTGACTTGATTAGAGAAAACGGAAACTTAGACAATCCCTCAGATTTACATGGGATTATACCTCATTATAAAAAGAATCAGGGCATTTAACGAGAACTGTAATATTATTCAAACTTTTTTCTCTCTCACACACACTAAGATCCTAAACCTCACGCTGGGAACATGTGAGTGAAAAAGTGTTTACACATAGATGGCTCCACAAGTGCTCAGCCATAAGAGTTAATTATTAGGCCTCCGTGACTAAACCTCGGTTACCCTATCCTTACAATTTCGGAAAAATATAATACTATTAACCTTGATATTATTGTTATTGATCTTGCTTCATTATTTTATTTATCATTATTATTACTGTTATCATTGTATTATTATTTTATTATTATTATTATATTATTATTATTACTATTGTTACTACTATTTTTATCATTATCATTATTACTATTGCCCATGATCATTATATTTACAATACTAATAACCCAAAATAAAAATATATATTTTTGAAAATCAAGGAAATGGTGAATATGTGAGGCAGATAGGACCAGCAATTGACCTCTTGGTGACAGCACTTGCAGAGCCATCTATGTATTAACACAATTTACTTAGCCCGCCTTGAGCATGCCATCCCCGGCGGTTATGAAAAGGTTGTGTGATATTCTAAGCCCTTTTCTGTTTCAGGGACTGGTCTTTTACATTCCCCATTGGCTCTGGAAGAGATGCGAAGGGGGGAGGCTCCGCTCACTCTCCGTCGGCCTCTCCGCCCCCTTCATGGACAAGGAGCTGCGCCTCGGGAAGATCCAGAGCCTCGCCAGGTACCTCCACACCTCGCTCCACCAGCACAGCACATACGCCGTCTGCTATTTTGTTTGTGAGACGCTGAACTTGGTCGTCTGTTTCTTCAACTTGTGGTTCATGGACATGTTTCTCGGCGGAGCGTTTTCCACCCACGGTTTAAGTGTCATGGACCTCATTCGGGACAACGAAGATGCGAGGGAAGCAACCAACATGGCTTTCCCAAGAGCCACTAAATGCATATATCACGTTTGGCCTTCGGGTTCAAAAATGAAAGCGAAATTAACACTTTCTCGTTGCACAAAAACTCCCAGCCATTAAGCATCAGTGGCGGTA